GCCTTGGTCTTTTAAAGGGACAAAAAGGCATCTCTCCAAGAAACTGCGCTATACGAATATTGGACCACACATTGCAATGAGATTGGGTCGTCTACAGCCCTAATACCCGACGATCTGATGCATGACAGACGTTGCTGGTCGCACGAACGGGCAATAGGTTAGTTTTAGGGTTATGTTCTCTACACACTTTATGTACTTATTCGTTGTTCATTGTCTCAGAGTTGTATTGACTTAGGCATCAGATGCTCTTCATCGGAAAACTCCTCTTCCCGCGTTGAGTTCTTGTAAGTGTGGAAGTTGTTCGAGGTCGAAGAAGAAGTCCTTGAGGTCGAGGGAGTCGTTTTCTTACTGAATAGTTTGAGTCGAAACTGAGTAAAGTCTATTTCACTATTAATATGTCATTCATATAATGGAATAAAATACGAGATGCAATATGAGAATCGATCTTATGTCGAAGTACACCCGAACGATGACTGGTCTTGCGCCATTAGACCGACGCACTTTTTTTACAAATATCAATATTTTTCTTAAGAAAAAGTCGAACTTAAAAAATAACATAAACATAACCATGACATTTGATATTGAGTCTGTTTGACTGTTATTTGATAGCGAATACATAATTGTATTAGATGGTATTTGATAGCATATTTAATTAAAGTTAGCATCGACATGTTGTCGAATCTTTTTTTTTTTTCAAAACGCTCACATGTTCAATTTTTGTAATTAGCATTTTTTGAGTTTAAAAAAACTAATCAGACAAATTATTTATTATAGAAATTATTTAGTGAATTTGACAAGTCAAACCTATCTAGGTGCATTCATCTAATTTTATATCAATCTTCTAACATTCAAATAGAGACATTACAAACACGCATGTTTATTTAAATAGTACGACAAATCGACTCGCTTAAAAGTAGTAGAAGAATGTGCTTCGAGCAAGAATTTGTGAGGGAACAAAGGTCCCATTGAAGGACAACATTGTAATCCATCAACTGAAAGAGTGTCGGTTACGGCAAAATTTTCCACAAAACCCCGTTTTCTCAAGGAAAAAGAAGCCAGAAAAACCAAAAAAGACCCATTCCCATGAGCAACTACTTTACATTTAATGCTTCAAACACACGCTTTTACTTCGCACACTTTTGGCGGGTACGCTTAGAGAGAGAGAGAGAGAGAGAGAGAGGGTAAAATACAGTCCGTACGAACAAAAACTATTATACAAAATCAATATTCAAGAATTCAAGGCCACACTGAGTACAGTGTATACAGTATATAGTCCAATAAAGCGAAAAGGAAAAAGTTAAAAATAAAATCGCACACTCAAATCTCACTGTTTTTTGTTGAAAAAAATCTCGCCTGTCGTACGTTGCAAGATACCCTCTTTCGATCGTTCGAATTTTCCGATCATCGGACGGGGAAAGGGGCTAAAATCGCCGTGTAGAGAATAAAGATTCGATCTTTTTTTTGCTTAATGTTGCTGTGCTGGTGTCTATAGCGAGATCGCGGCAGGATGGAGCTGTACGGGGACCAGCCGGAGGCGGAATGGGGTCAGGGAACGGGTCTGGAAGGTGGGTTTCGGGTTTGATTTCCGGGTTTTTTCTCGGGGCGTTTGAGCTCTCGAGGTGTGTTCTGCATTGGGGATTTTTTTTCCCCCTAGGGTTTTTTGGTTTTTGCTGATAACGCGTTTTGTGTTTGTGGGTGTAGAATCGATGCGGAGGTTGAATCTGTGGAGCAGGGAAGTGTACCCGGAAAGGCCGGGTCAACCCGACTGTGCCTATTATATGCGGACCGGGTCGTGTGGGTACGGCGTCAAGTGCCGGTACAATCACCCTCGTGATCGCAGCATCTCTGTAAGACCTCGTGATCTGGTTTTTTGAATTGTCTGAGGGTTATGTTTTTGTTTTCTTACACATTTTAAGCAGCATTATGCAGAAGAGTAACTAGTAATCACTCTTATTGCATATTTTGTTTTATGCTCTATCATTGTTTAGTTCTGTTTGTAGGGTAATTGTAAATGGAGTCTGTGTTCACATGAATTCACACTTTGATTTAGCTCTGTTTTTGTAAACCATGGATTCTTGATTGGCCCTAAGACAGAATGTTGTGTTCGTTGGTCTCGATTTTCGAGTTCAGGATTCCGCTCATAACTAAGTACTTCTTTTTTTTCGTTTAATGAAAAACTTGTTTGACCTGTGGCAAATGGATAGTTTTTTGTTCTATTTTGTATATGTGGTGCAGTAATTTCTTGTTCTTTGAATTGTCTGCTGATGTTCTGTTTATATTTTTCTTCCACAAGTAATTTATTGTTCTTTGAATTGTCTGCTGATGTTCTGTTTATATTTTTCTTCCACAATTTAAGCAGCATTGTGCACAATGGCAATAACTCTTACTTCATCATTTTTGTTTTCTGCTTTTTCATTGTTTGATTCTGTTTGTAGGGTAATTGTAAATTAATTGTGGGTTCACATGCTTTACCTTTTGATTTAGCTCCTGTTCTAACTAAGCACTTCTTTTCCGAACTTGTGTTTTCTCCGTATTTAATGGATTTTTAACACGAGTCTTACTTGAATTTGCGGTATATTTGTTATCTTGTGCAGTTGGGAGGTGGCGAGTATCCCGAGCGAGTAGGGGAGCCTCCATGCCAGGTATTCTTCTTTGTACTAATCTTTTTTTTTTTTTTTTTTTTTTTTTTTTTTATTTTGTGAACTTCCTAAGTTAATATGCAAACAAAGAAAGCTGCTATCATTATTCATAATGCAGTATTACTTAAGAACTGGGACCTGCAAATTTGGTCCTTCCTGCAAGTTCAACCATCCGAAAAATGCCGGAGGATCGTTAGCTAGTGCACCTCTGAATATTTATGGATACCCATTACGGCCGGTAAGCTTTCTCCTATACAAGTGCAGTAGATATATTTTACCACATGATTATACTGTAACATTATTTTATTTTCCGCAGGGTGAGAAAGAGTGCTCCTACTATTTGAAAACGGGGCAATGCAAGTTCGGGTTGACCTGTAAATTTGACCATCCTCAACTGGACGGCACGTCATCTGTGTCGGCATCTGCACGTCCATTTTATCCGACCGTGCAGCCTCTTTCTTCTCCTTCTCCTTCTCCCGAGCAGTATGAAGGCGGCTCGACGGGGTATAGTGTGGTGAGGCCGCCGTTGGTGCCTGGATCATACGTGGCCGGTGCGTATGGTCCCATGCTGCTCCCTGGGGTTGTTCCCTTTCCCAACTGGGGTCCTTATTCGGTAGGCCCTATTTTAGGTTCATTTACTTTGAAAGGAGTGTGATTATTTTGATGTTTCAAGTGATTAGAGAAAACCAATCATTTAAGTTAAGCCAGTTTGTATTGAAATCCAGTCATCTTTGAAAAAAATGAAAACTTCATATGCCCATTTCTTATTTATTTTACAAATTTCACCTCGGGGAATCGGGGATGTGTTTGTTTTCGACAAAAAAGCATTTTTAGTCTTGTAGTTTTAACGACATAGCAAATTTAGTCCCAAGGTTCCAACATTTTGCCTTTAGGTCATGGGATTTAATATTTTATTGCTATAAGGATTGAAATTGCAATAAAATTTTAAATTACTAGACTTACATTGCTAATAAAAAATCCATCTTTGTTGCAATTTCAGTCGTGAATGACTGAAATGCAGCAAAATATTAAATTACAGACCAAAAGGCGAAATGTTAGAATATTGGGACAAAATTGCTATTGCGTTAAACCAACAGGGCTAAAAATGCAATTTAGCCGTTTGTTTGCACATTGTAAGGGATATTTGTAAAATTAGACAAAGGGTTAGCTTTTGTATTATTGTCCCTAATTTGGTTTTTAATTTTATCCGACTTACTCGGAGTTTTTACACAATGCAGGGACCAGTGAGCCCTGCACCATCACCCGGTGCTCAACCCTCAGGTGGAGCAACTTCGGTGTATGGTCTGTCACAGATAGGTTCGCCTGCACCTGCATTCACTGGAACATATCCCCAGTTGGCCTCATCGGATGGCCCTTCGGGCAGCCTGATAAAGGAACAGAAGTTTCCTGAAAGGCCTGGCCAGCCTGACTGTAAGTACTACATGAAAACTGGAGACTGTAAATATGGGCCGTCGTGTAGGTACAACCACCCACCAGATTGGGCCTTGTCAAGGTTGAATTTTGCTCTTAGCCCAGTGGGCTTACCTCTTCGTCCGGTAAATTCGACTTTTCTTCTATCCATCTTGTTTTTTGATAGCTCAATCAGTATATTTTTTTGTTTGGAACACTTTTCTGTTTTAATTTTATCTTTTCTTTGTCAAAACATTTGTTTTAATTTCTGATAGCTCAGACAAGACATTTATACATTTCTATCTAAAATATCTTTTAAACCCTCAATTTTCTCTGATTTGCCGATGTAAAACAGGGCGAGCAGGCTTGCTCTTTTTATCTACAAAAAGGTTACTGCAAGTTTGGACGTGCGTGCAAATTCGATCACCCGATGCCAACTGCAGGTTACAATCCAGCATCTTCTTATGCTGAAATGCCGGGTAAACTTGAACTCCCTTAAAACTACCGTTTTTTTTTTTTCAAAACCAAAACTTAATCATTTTCGATACCTGCAGGATAATTGCATTGCAAGGCCCTACATGGATCCGGACTCAACCGGGTCAGACTATCTGAAGGTCCGTTTGATGGTTAAACGACAAACCGGGTCTTCAGTCGAAGCTCAACGAAATAAAAAGATAAGGAAAGATCGATCTTCCATACTCTGATGTATATATGGTCCCTTGTTTATTTCTTATGGCCTGCAGTAAAAACCTCATTCTGCATAAACATTTTTATGGTTGGTTAGATTTTCGATAAAAGGTATGTTAGCTCAAAATTTGAACTTATTTAAGCGTGCGAATTAGCCGAGATTCGTTGCAAGGGTATGGCTAAAATGCACAGCCATGTCTCACTTATGTATCCATGTTACTTAATACATTTGTGCCGTATCGATTTATTCGGAAAAATTCGACCCTACGGAAGTGTACCGAGTTTGTTATAGTCGGTTTCTTATAGTTGGATCAATCCACAATCATGCTGAGGTGTAAATGAGTTGAACCGAGCTTGAGCCTTACGATCTCATAATCGAGCTCGAAAATTTTAAAAGTTTCAGTTAAATACACTCTCCTTACTTTTATATTACATATATTTACATATCAATATCATGCAAGACAAAAAATAAATATAAAAAATTTGGCCACACGACCAAAAGAATAGAACAATTTAAACAGTCCCAAACTAAGCATTGTGTTTCAATTGCAAACTTCAATCTACCAACTTATCGAAAGCTTTTGAATTCTCGAGGTCGATCGTACTTAATAGGAACCTTACGAATTCTCAAGCTCGACCATGAAGCTGCTGCAGCCTATATCCCTCTCGAGTCTCCTCCCTTTCATCAACTTTCAAACCCTCTTCTCATCATCCCATTTTCCATTTTTCGCATACAAATCAGATAGCACAACTGTTAAATTAAACGAGCCAGACTCGGCTTGTCAAGGCTCGAGCTCGACTCGAGTTCGAGGCCTCAACGAGCTGAGCTCAAGTTCATTTAAAACTCGATTGGTTAACGAGCTGAGCTCGGCTCGACTCGATTAGACTCGAAAATATAAATTTTACTTAATTTTTTATAGTTCGCCTCGTTAAAACTCGAGCTCGAGGCCTTAACGAGGTGAACTCCAGCACGAATTTCGGCTCGTAAATTTAACGAGCCGAGAATAGCTCGAGCACCTTAAACTCGAGCTCGGCTGGACTCGTTTACAACTCTAAGCACAACATAATTAGTAGAATTACTGGGCTCATGTGGACGAGGCCCGAGTTGCACGCACGGGCTAAGAACCGCAATCAAGTCCACGAGACCACTTCTCTCAGGGGCATTTCATCGAACACTTTCCCCAACATAACAACCATCATTCAGAAAACCCAATTTGATTACCTGCGGCGGGTGCACCGATTTTCCCCTCTTTCATCAGCTTCAAGTCCGCCAGCGCCTTGAGGACGAAGAGGAAAGTGTAGTGGTTCGCGGGGGGTTGCGTTCCTGTACATGCAGGCGTATATTAAATTATTAATAGGATTGGTAATTATTTTGTTAGACAAGATAAGTAGTATTAGGAGAATTGAAACTTCATATAATTAAATTTGGTTAATTGACCCAAGAGCGCTTGGATGAGATGGCTTGGGTCTCTTCCAGCTTAACCAGTGGTCTCGTGTTCGAGCCCTGGGAATGCAACAATGTTAAAAACTCTTGAGGGAGAGCTTTGCCGCCCTTGTGGTCCTACCCGACTCGATTCCGGATTAGTCAATTCCCCTTTGGATCCGGAAACGGTAAGGTCCCTATACCAAAAAAAAAAAAATTTGGTTAATTGATAGAACTTTTAGTGCCATTTCAGAAGCTAATTTTTAATATGAACCAGGGAGCTGCCATGTGAGATTTTATGTGAATTATGCGATTATTTTGTTGATAAAATTTATTATCTAATGAACCTTGTTGTATCTGTGGTTGTAGTAGTTAGTTGTTCTTTTCTTGCCCTGGCTAGTTTCTTGTTTTTCCTTTTTAGTAGATCATATTCATGGGAGATTTTACGGTCCCGTTCCGTCCGTCGGGGTTTGCAACCGTTAGATCAACTATCCATGACGGTTACATAATGATCTAACAGTTACAAATACCGACGGAATGGTTCCGGAACGGGACTGTAGCATTTCCCCATATTCATATGCTCGTGTGATGCTGTCTAGAGATCCTTGTTCCCTGTTAATTATTGTGACTGCAAACTGATGTGGGCATTATCTGTATGTATTTATCGCTTTTGATAAAACAGTTAAAAAAATTGAGCATGTATTTTCTCTCAGTTTTGTTCATTATGTTACCTTTAAAGCTACTTTTAAGCATTTTTTTTTTTTTTTTTTTTAATTCTTGTGATTTTCCCAGTTGGTTGGTTGGTTTGAGTAATTGTCTTTGATAGGTTCTTTATGTCCTAATATATTGAAGTTTCTTTTAGGCAAAAACTTTTTGTTCATCATATAAGTTCATAAATATTCGAGAATATGGATAAATATCTTGAGTGCTTCTCAATATGTAGCACACTGAGTGAGCCACTGCTTTCATGCTTATATGTTCTGCGTTCGAGTTCATCTAGGATTGCTGATGCAGAAGAAAATTTGGGCGAAAGTGACGTTAGGGAAGCTCACTTAGCCAAATCTTTATTTTACATTCGAATTGGGGACAAGGTACGCTTAACTTTCCATTCTACCCAATTTTTGCACTCTATTTATTTATTGAATGTCAATTAATTAACTATCTTTAAATATGCAGGAGAAGGCATTGGAACAACTAAAGATAACCGAGAGCAAAACAGTTGCGGTCGGACAAAAAGATGGATTTGGTATTCTACACTCTACAGATTGGTTTCTTCCATATGGACTTTGATCTTATCTCTAAAAGCATTGACAAAGCAAAGAAGTAAGGTTTCATGCATAATAAGCTGTGTTCTTTGATAGTTCCAACTATATTCCTACTTCTACAAACTAGAATTTGAGAATTTGGTCCCGATTTTAATAATATCCGCAGCTTGTTTGAAGAGGGGGGTGACTGGGAGAGAAAGAACCGTTTGAATGTGTATGAGGGATTATTCTGCATGTCTACTCGCGATTTCAAAAAAGCCGCCACTCTTTTTCTCGACTCCATTTCAACTTTCACAACCTACGAGCTCTTCTCTTATGACACCTTCGTATTCTACACTGTTCTTACTAGCATCATATCCTTGGATAGAGTTTCATTGAAACGAAAAGGTAATGTATATATATGCTATTTTTCTTCTAAAATGGTCTTTGTTTAATCAGATTCGAACACATATTTGTATGTGGTTTTATATATATCTGGCAGGTGGTGGATGCCCCTGAAATATTGACTGTTATCGGCAAAATCCCATATTTGTCAGACTTTCTCAACTCCCTTTATGATTGTCAGTATAAATCATTTTTCACTGCTTTTGGTAAGCACCCTATGCAGCATTACTTACACGTTTCTATAATCAAATGTTATGATTCAAATTTTTCTATTTTAACACTTTCCTACTTTGTTGTTAAAGCTGGCTTGACCGAGCATATTAAGTTGGATCGCTATCTGCATCCACACTTGCAGTACTTCATGAGGGAGATAAGAAGTGTAGTTTATTCCCAGTTTTTAGAATCCTACGAGACTGTAACTATTGAAGCTATGGCTAAAGCATTTGGAGTCACAGCGGATTTCATTGACGTGTAAGTAGTTAAAAATGTAAACGTACTTTGTAGCCGGTTTTTTGGGTATGTGAGTGTTTAATGGAGTTCTCATCTGTGTTTTAGGGAGCTGTCTCGGTTTATTGCAGCAGGGAAGTTACATTGCAAGATAGACAAAGTTACTGGTGTGCTAGAAACCTAACGTCCGGACGCGAAAAATGCCCTTTACCAATCCACCGTCAAGCAGGGAGGTTTCTTATTGAACCGTATTCAGAAGCTATCTCGTGTGATCGATGTTTAACGTGCATCGATAATTTTATTTTTTTTTCTTAAGAGTGGACTATTTTGTTGATGTTGCTTCTTCTATCAGAATTCTATTCAAGACACCAATTGTTCTATTGGAAGATCTTGGCTATGGGTAATGATGTTTGATAAGTTTTCTGGTCTCTTTTCTGTTGTGATCAATTGCAGCTAAATAGTTATACTATATATATAATATAGAGAAATGCTACAGTCCCGTTACGAAACTATTCTATCAGAATTTGTAACTGTTAGATCATCATGTAACCGTCGTGGATAGCTGATCTAACGGTTACAAAACCTACAGAATGCTTCCGTAATAGGACTGTAGAATCTCCGTATAATATAATACTAGTTTGTCATACATACAGGACAATTTTTTATTTTTTTTTAAAAAAAAAGATATACATGAAGAATTTATTCGAAAAATGTCGGGAATTACATAATTGAAATTGCATTTTTCTTCTCCGAAAAACTATTATACTTATTGTTGTTAATAACTGTGAAAATACAAAATAATCGAAAATTAGCAGGGCCAAATTTCATAGACATATATATAAATGTAATTTTAAAATTTCCATTGCCGTCCACCCAAGATTTTCTTACATATCACTAGAAAAAAAAAAAAAAAAAAAATTGATAATAGTTGTTAACAAACTCCTATTGTCCTAAATCTTCACTGCATATTCACATAATATGAATATATGATCCAACACATCTATTAAAGTTTAAAAGAAAAGATGCGAAAAAAGATTAAAAGAAAAGATGCGAAAAAAGATTAAAAGAAAAAACACTAAAGGCTCAATAATTTTTCATGCATGTTGATACCCTAACGGCTTCCCCCGACCGCGCCCGATTTTCCTTCGCACGAGCATTCCAATTCTTCGGGAACAAAAACTTGATCGTTCTCACCGGACTACCGTCTAGCAAAACGGCTTCTTGAAATTGAGGATGATTATCGACCTCGATTCTCCTCGGCATGGCTAAGGATGTAAGAGTCTTTGACATCTCCTCGTCGAATGAACTTATTTCTCGGACGATATTCGGACAAATATCACTATTGCAATCCATCTTTTTTCTTTTTGGCATCTTTCCTTTATCTTTTTTTTTTTTTTTTTTT